TAGCCCGACCCTGTTACCTCTTATCCTTAAAAATCAATAATCAATAATAATAGCTATGGAAAACTGAAATTTAATAGAAAATGACTTGAAAGATATAAAAGGCCGGAAAGAAATATATGTCAAATATCGTTTTTTATGTACTTGGGAAATTATAAAAAAGATTGAGAATACCTAAGGTCTTACCTCCCGAGTCAACAAGAAATTAAGTCGGAGGAGTGGGAATTTAAGATTTTATGTGTTATCCGATATATTTAAAACTTCAAATGTAAATAAGTTAAAAATAACAGAGTATTATGAATGTTTTTGATAAATTTGGATAATAATATAGTTGATTAATATTTTCTGTAACAGAATAGTGTCTTTTTTTCCTCAGTAGTATTTTGTTTTTGACCTATATTTTACTATATTATATATTAACTTTTTACTTCATTTTTCATTCATTTTTATGTGTATACTAATTGTTAAAATATTGTTTATCAAATGAGTGATAAAATTACATAACCCTTCTGGTCTGCACAAAGATTTGCAGTATTTTCTTTTTTCATTTACTGCAATTCGTGTTTATTACAACCTGAAGAAAATGAATTGAAAATTGAAATTGTTTAGTTATGAAGCTAAAGAAACAACAGCTCTAAGATGTTTTTATCGTCGACGGGTAATTAAGATTTGAAAAAAAGCGTTTGGGAATATTTTGATAACATTGTATATTTACACAAATGATAGGGCTCCGTCATCCTATATTCAAAATAGATCTTTTAGTTCTTCCATTACCAAAATCAATTAATTGACCCAAACGTATTAGGTTAACGTCCGCACTTTGTTATAAAACTAAGTTTCCACTTATGTAATTGGTATATTAATTTGATTTTTACACAGATTTATGACTTGCTATAAACTGTCCAAACAAGAATGGCGTATATTTAAAGTCGATATCTAAAAAACGCATTAAAGAAGGAAGTGCAGTGTTCGGTGTTTAGTCCCAGGTGCGGTCCCAAACAAAAGGAGCAAAAGTCCGAATATACAAAACATCTAAACTTCCTTAGAAATAAATTAACTATGTTTACAAAACTCAAACGCATTCAATTAATGTAACATCAGCTTCATTAGTAAATGTGATTCGTAGATTCTAAAAGATCGTAATAAAGTCTTCAATTGCAGATTATACTTTGATGAAAAATTAAATCTTATAATAAATTCAAAGTATATACCGTATACAATAATTCTCACACAAATCATACAGAAACGGTCCCTGCTCATAACAAGTGCATTTTCATGCCACCACTCTACACGTATCACATTGGATAGGACAACTGGTTTATTATTCATTTCCTTTCCTCTCTTTTTTGTTGAGTTGCCAATAAGATATTTTTGTAATTTCGTATTTGCATTTTCGGGTTGCTTATTCTCCGGTGCAGGTTCTTATGAGGTGACGATGTCAGTGTGTGTCTTCTGTCTTCGCCGCGTTCCTTTTCTATTCAAATCCAATCTTTCGGATGGGCATAATGGTCGATGACGAGTAATGTTGTTTACCGCGATTCCCTGAAGTTTCACAATTTGGAGAATCATGTTCCTTAGGGGCTGTGGTGACCTTCCTCAATAAAAATGACGATGGCTCTGGTGAGTGTTTTACAATTTGATCACATGGCTACCTACGTCAGGATCTTCATTTAATGCCAAATCTCCTGTGAATGTAGCGAAAAAACTGTCTCTGATTTGTGGCCTGTGAAAGAAGAAAGACTTTCTCTCCAAATTTGAATTTGTCAATGGATACAATACTACAGACTTCAAAAACTTTCGCAGCCTTTTCGGTCGTACAATTCTTCATGTACGATTTACCAGACAGTTCCGCTACCAGGAATTGAGTGATGACCCTTTCTCGATAAATTTCAACATGCGCTACAATTCTCTGCAAGTGGGATAGAAATACGCACCAGGACTCTTGCCGCTTTCCACAACTGTCAAAATAATATCTTTTAATTTATGCTACCTTTTGTCAGGAGTTTACGAAACTACTTACTAGTGTTTTGGGTAGGTCACATTTCACATATCCATACTCTTATTTCTATATTGTTATTACTGTGCTATTAACAATATAAACATAATTCCGAAATCTTGCAAAATTACATCAAATAAGTTCACATTATATCTCACCTTATTGTCTCAACACTCTTTGTCTAGGATCTACCAAACTCTCCTCGCAGAATATCAATAATGAATCCTTCCAATTTATTGCTGAAGTGCCAACTTCACACCTCGAAAACAGTAATTACGCTAATCGGGCTGTTACCCCCATGCAGACGTTTTGCCTCATGTTACTCTAAGGCCAGAAGAATCAAATCCACTTTGTGATCCCCCTTCGCGTACAAAAATTAACTCAGTTCGAGACATGACGAGGGACAGGTTACAAGGGTTAACCAATGAAATATTTAGGTGAACCTAAATTCTAGTACTCATGTATGTATTCTTATGTATTCTCATATGCTTGTTATCATCAATGTACTGTATTATTCGTACGATGTACTTGTACGATGTCGTATCTGTACTCGAACGATGATTCCGTACAATTCAATACATGTCATAGATGGTGACTTCGAACGTGACTTTGAAATTCGAATAATAACCTAGTCTCGGATGATCAAGAATTGGGTTATGGAATCATGAAAGAAACAAAACACACTAACAACGAAATACGTCATCAAGAAACTTGTGGTGCTAAAACAGCACATACTTTCTGGCCTTTAGTAATAGTCATGTATTTTTTGCTAGTTATGTACTTCAATTTTTTAAATAAATTATAAAAATGAATGAATGTTTAAGCATTTGAAATGTTAGATATTCTTTTTCCTTTGCATTAACCCCCTGGGACATTTAAAAAAAAGTAGTTCCAACGTTTTTGAGGAGCTAACTTTGTTGTACAAACAACAGACTTTGTCTGAGACAAATATCTCGATCTCCAATTTTGAATTTTTTTTTTCAATTTTCGAAATATCGGCTATGTCAACGAACACGAGACATTTAACATTCTCTTAAACGTCCTTTGCACTATTCAACAAAATTTAATCAAACAATTTGGAGCCATTTTTTTGAAAATTTTGAAAATCTTCTAGAAGTTTCATGTGAAGTCCCCCCCCCCTAAATTAAAATTTTGGTTTCAAATTCCAGGACCCGCGACATCAGCTAGAGCGATTGGGAACATCAGTTTTGGAGAAAATCGGCTGAACAGTCTATGAGCTACCGTTGGGCACAGACGGACCGGCAGTCAGACGTTTTGCCGTCAATCGAATTTTCGGTATGAAGGATCCACAAAACATGGATTCTGGCTACACCACGTGCCAGAGAATTTTTTTTATTTTTAACATTTGGATTTATCCACTTTTTCGTTACCAGGGCCCGGCAAGAAGAGTTTTTGTGTGCACAATTCACCGTTTTCCGACGCACGATTTACTTTATCTTATCTACACGACGTACTTTATCTTATTATGTTTGTAAGTGCGAGAAAGTAAAAACGATACACAGACGTCTATGCTTCCCCTGTATGTAATATACACTGGGACGGTGTATGCGCTGGGCGATGGCATTACAGACTTCCTCGAATTCGATAACATAGGCCTACAAAGAAAGAAATATTGTCAGCCCCAAAGACTTGACACAATCTCAATGTATTTCGACGCGCGGAATCCGAATCTTCGACAACTCTCGATTCAGACTATCCGCCCCCTAAAAAAACAATTTTACAGTGTTTTTTTTTACGAGATTAAAGAAATGGAGGATGAAGTGCAATTTTTGGTTCAGCTACGGGTTCAGCACATCGACATACGCAGAGAAACATGTGTCAAGTCTTTGTGTCTGACAACGTTTTGTGCGCGCTTTTGTAATGATCGGATGTGCTCGCCCAACAGTGAGTGAGCTTAAGCTGAATCTAACGGGGAGAGGCGAGGACGAGGCGAGTTGCCCTTCCAGGACATGCTGGCGGCGGGGGGGGGGGGCACGGAACGATAAAGGGAAGATCTCGCGGGGTCCATCGCTGTTGTAGGGCTTGGAAGAGCTCAGGGAAACCACCGATCAGAGCACTCGGCTGTGAATTCATCGATGACCCAAGTCACTTTCTAGCACTTTGCCGCGATTGAACCCATGATCTTCCAATCGCTGCCCAGTCCATGTTATTCCTCGGGAGGTGGCAGTTATCTTCCCCCGCTGGATGGCGAGACTCGGGGCGACCTACCGTCGGTTAGAGGGGTTTCCCTCACCAGGTATCTCCCACCAGTGAGTCACCGCGCCAGCCGGGGCAAGCTCTAAGCTCCCGACCGGTCTCCCGGCATGTGTGGTAGTGTAGTGCATGGAAGTGGAAGTGTGTGAGAGTAGGGAGGAGGATTGGAAAAGGGAGGACTGACCAATCGCTGCTCAATCCGTATGCTCGGATGATACCGCTCTTCCGCTTGCCGCTACTAACGGTTGAGTGAGCATTATCACTATCTCTAACCGAGAGGTCCTAGGCTTCCAGTCTCAACAGTGACGGGAAACAGTCACTAGCTACAGAGCTGTGTCGAATTCAACCACTGACTGGAAGGAATATTCTAGCGGCCGGCTTCTCTGATTGGTACTTTACCATTTTGATTGATGATTGCTGATTCCGGGCGCGTCAGATTAGTGCCGTATGTGTATTGCATGTTTTTTACTTGCGAAATGGCGGTGATATTCCCCCGCTGGATGGCACACCTTATGGTGTGCATCTAAGAGGTGAGGATAGGACAAGACACCCCGCAACCCGTTTGTTAGGGTTCTTGGGGAAGGGAATACCTCTCAAGCCGTCGTGTAGACCAGCTCCGGATCTCATCATCCAATGGGGAAGGGAGTACTGCCACCTGCAGACTGTACTAACAGAACTAACTACCATAGCTAATGACTAAACATCGATTAATCGCAGCTACCGGTGTTGGTCAATCGCAAATATACTGAAACCAGAATTTTTTCGGGGAGGGGGGACTTCGTTGTGTGCGCAGCTCCTTGGAGCGGTTCTCCCGACCGCTCACCTGTCACCCCACCTGGAGGCCACGCAGGCCGCGTGGCGGGAGGGCGTCAGCGAGGCGGGGCCCGCGCCATTGTATAAAGGCGGCCATGGCTCTGGGCCGCAGAGTATTTTCTCAGTGGCGGTCGCCCGTCTCAACATGAAGCGCCTCGTGAGTAGCCCACCCGGCCGCGCCGTGCGCGCACTTTGACTGCACCTGAGGCCGGCGCGCGCTTCGCCATTCGCCATGGCGTTCGCGTCTAGTTGGGGAGTCGGGATTTCAGGTTACAAGCCTCCGTTTTCTTATTCTGCATTCAGTGTTCCCTCTCCTCACTTCGCGGGATACGACGAAACCGTTTTATTGTGTTACGCCTTTTGTGTTTCGGATTAGAGAGATCGAATGAAGGGTAAGAGAAATAAAGAAGGATAATATTACGTCTTTAGAAACACTGTTTTGTGAAACACTAAAATGTAAGCTTTGTGGTGCACTTATTAGAATGTAAATAAATTTCTTCATTTCGCGTGAAAATTTAAAGGTGATGGGAATTGAAATAACGAAGAACAGTCCAGCTTTAAAATGCTCTCCTAAAACTTTATGAAAAGTGGACGTATACCCTTCGTATATTACTTTTTAATCAATTATTATTCCTAATACGCTTCAGAATCCCTAAAGAATGGTTGCTAGTACATTTTTTATCACTCGATAGGCACAATTATTGTGATGTTTCAAGAAGTGGCATTATGAAATTTCATACTTTTAATTTTTTTGAACATACGTTTACCAGAAACTTGTAATAGATTTTTTCGTAAAACTAAAATGATAGTAGAAGTACGATTTCACAATATACCATTCTTAGAATTTCGTAGTTTATTTTATTACATTTGATTAAGTACATTGCTATTCGCTGCATCTAAATGAAAGTAATCTAGATAAATTCTACAACTTCATATGTAATTAAATATGCATTTTGTTTTTCTTAAAATCTCCGAAACTTTTGAAAATATATTCCAGTTTATTTACATTTTTCAAATAATCCTTCTTCAAATCATAAATGAAAACTAATATTAAAAGTAGAAAAACTTTTGTACGTTACGCAAAGTTTTTCACGTTTCCAGAACGAAACTACAAAACTACCATGCGCTTTTCACGTTTGCTTTTGTAAATGCTTATCAAAAGTGCATAAACAAAATAACTCATCTAGAAAAGACGTTTCCACCTTCTCGTAAACGTAATATAGAAAAATCAAATTTTTGAAAGCGGAAATACACCTTTTCAATAGAAATATTCGTTTTGGGATCTTCAGATACCAAAAAGTTGTTGTTGTTGTTTATTTTTTTTTTAAATTCGTCCGTCTCCCTGTCCGTCTGTGAACAACTAGCACCAAAACTATTCCTACTTTTTTTCTTCAAAATAAGTCCATCTGGTCCATCCCATGTCCATCTGGTCGGACTTAAAGCTTGATTTGAAAAATATTCTCTAAATTTTGGAGGTACTTTACGTGAAGTCCCTACATTTTCAAAATTTGCTCCAAAAAGGCTCCAAATGTTTTCTATAAATTTCTTGTAAAATTAGTGAAATACACTTACAGGTAGCATAGATCCGATTTTCATTGTTAAATCTAAAATGTCGGATATTAGAAAAGTTTTATTTTTTCGTCATCTTCCTACAACTATCACATTGAAGATAGAAGATTTTCTACAAATAAAAATGTATTTTCCATTATTAGTTCTTTCATTAACGTCATGCACAATTCTTGAAAATTGTAGTCGTTTTCGTGCAATATTGAGTGAAATATGGGAAAGTTAAAAACAAGTATCAAACTATAGTTTCTGAAAAAATTGGCTCTAATTTTTTGTAATTTATAATGACAAAACAATCATTTATATGTTTTTTCCAAAAATTACGCAATTGTAAGTTTTTGACATAACTAAATATTTTCTAAATTAATCTATTTGACATATCTAAATAATCGTATATATTTTCGTTACCGGCGATTGGAATACATTATTGCACTTGTCAGTAAATGATCTTTAAATAGGTCTTACAAAGTTTCTCGAAAACTCAAATATTTTCTGTAAGTATGAGCTTATTATTCCGCATTTTCAGTAACGCTAAAACGCCATTTTCATGAAAACCGGCTCCAATTTTTTTATTTAAAATTTTTGAGCGGATAATACTAAATAAATTGAATAACATGACAAAAATTGTCACTTTGATGTATTCTTTTGTTTTTTATACATTACAAAAATGTACTTTTTTTGAAATGACTTTCACGATGCTAATATTTCTTTTAGCGACGATTTGTATACTTTGTTGCATTTGTGAGTGTAAGTTCTTATGATTTCCAATTTTGATTCTCGAAAAACACAAAACTCTCTGTGAAAAAGAGCTTCAAATTCCTACTTTATTGAAACGCTTAATCAACATTTTCTCAAGAACGGTTCCAATTTTTGCAACAAAAAATTAAAATAGAACAAAGCTTTACTCCTCTACGATGTTGTTATTTCAGTTCTACCATTTGGGAGCCGAAAAATTGAAGAATGTGAAAAAAAAAAAAAAAAAAAAAAAACAACAACTTTGGACGGCGATAGTCGACTACAGGGCGTTCAGACCAAAGAAATTAGAAAACTAAGTAGTAGGAGAAAGCCTGTGCCCTTCTATAGCACCACTAATTTAGTTAAGTGAAAAATATATGCCTAGAAGTTAGTTTATTTTTACGCATAAAAAATATTTTAGATGTTCACAAGACAGAAAGGAGACTTACATATAGTAAAACACATTGTGGCAATTATTGTGTCAATAAAATAAATGAATGATTAAAGTATTTGTCTCGCAAAAAGTCAGTTTTCTACATGGGTCATTTTTCTTGCGCATCAACGTTATGCTGCTGCGCCCTTCTACTTACGAGCAGACGGATCACGAGCGAAACGGTCTCAAACGAGATGCCAGTGAACAGTAGGTGCTGCAGAATCCGCACGTCACAAGGTATGACGCTGACAGCGAAGCCTCCATTTAAACTCAGAAAAACTTTCATTTAGTGATGGGGTAATTCATAGTTATCGCAATACAAGTGCTAATAGGTTGACTTATCCTTCCGCTCTCGAATCTTCCGGATACTGCGTGCGTATTAACACATTATTATTATTATTATTATTATTATTATTATTATTATTATTATTATTATTATTATTATTATTATTATTATTATGTCTTACATTATTCACAGTATCTACTGGTCGGTATGTCAACCACACACAGGTATGATGACCAGGTGTGTGGTTGCTTTACTGAAGGTTCAGATGGCTTCTGACAATACGGCATGTATTCAAAATTACAGTCTTTTGCATATTATATACATTTATTTATTATTATTATTATTATTATTATTATTATTATTATTATTATTATTAATTTTGAAGACGGCTTAAAACTACGTAATATTTAACTATATTCTTCATCATTAACATCATACAATATATTCTTTATCTTCTTAATTTCTTAAACATAAAAGTATGGTAAGGGAACTCCTGTTACAAAATACTTCACATAATGTTAACGTATTTACGAAATAAAAATCAATATGGTTTGTACTATGTAGAGTATAATTGGAATAATACATAATTTTAACGTAGTGGGATTTGAGAGATGAAAAACTGCAAATATTACAATTTTCAAACCCTAAATATTTTTAAAGATTTCACTTCAAAAGGGAGATCCATTTATTGTATTGTGATTTTCTGCTTATGTAGAACTCTTGATGTGTTTTATATTTTTATTTCCTTGAAGAATAACGAAAATATTTCTTCGAATTAGTTGTAACAAGACCAAATCGAAATCTGTAAAGTGAGTACTTTTTCTCCAAATTAAACAAAAAAAAAGTGTCTGCATGTACGAAAAGTTGCATGAAAGGTTGGAGTTCTGGTTCTGTATGTCATTATTTCTTCACATTATGTTTGTTGAAGGTATTACTCCAACAAACAATCATAAGTATCGTTTATGAAGTATCAAGTATTATAATGAACTACAGTTTGCATCAATTTTCAAACCGATGATTTCTGGAATGGTTCGAAAATGTTGCAAAGGTCTTTTCGTCTGATGGACTGATCAGGCAAAGCGCCATCGACGCGGCGAGGTGATCAAGTGTTCATAATTTCCTTTAATCGGATGTGGGAAGCATTAAGAAGCGAAGCTCATATTCGCTGATTTTGTGGTGCAACAAAAACACTTATGCCCGCTTTAATTACGGTCATCAAAAATTATTTCACCTTGGAAGTCGTCTTTCGTCAGATGTGACTATGTAGCATGTGTGTACGGATTATGCATGCGCGAAAAGAAAAAAGTTGTGTAAAAAAACAAAACAAAACACACACACACACAACTAATGAGCATGGATTTGCCACAATAAAAGTTATGGATTTAAAATATTTCATGATTATCAAATTATTTAGATCTCTCCTTACGGAATCATTTGTTTTCAAACAACGGGCTTAAGATATTAGTCATCGACAGAAAATGTCTTACTTCAGAACTTTTTATCATAACAATTTTAACATATTTAATACAAAAACTGTTAAAGTCTACTGAAAACATATTTAAGATATGAATTGCTACTGAATTTGTTAATTTTTATATCAGCAACATCATTTACGATGGCTCGTGGTTAGCTCTTGGTCAGTGTTCTCGCTTTCCACTACACGGCCCCGGGCTCGATTCCCGGTCGAGCCAAGACTATAGTGTGCGTTTTCCTTGTAACGTCCCAGTACATGTTGCTGTATGACGACGAGGAAATTAACTTCTCAGTTCAGAAGACCGCAGTACGGCTCAGGGATGTCTGCTTGTCAACTACACCCATGGCCGCGATGCAGGAACGTCGCCGGTAAGCCCGAGCCCGTTCATGGGCTGTCGCAAGTACATACATACTAACAACATCATTTACTAAGAGATATGAACACTCGAAACCTAGGACGGAAGGTGAGAGATAGCACGGGTCGCTATTCGTGTACCCCCACCACCATTTGTCATTAACACATTCAGGGTACAAAAAGTACCGTGCGTATTGCAAGTGCAGACCGTCCGCCATGAGCAGCGGCGCGGCGCGGCCTCGTCCTCGGCCGCCCATGCAAATGCTCGTCATTACCTCCCGTAATGAGAGGAAGTGGCCGCTTATTAAACGCGCTTGTTCCGCCGCGTCCCAAGGGGGCACCTTTTTGCCCCGACGGAGCCTTTGCCCTCGGCGCCCGCTCACACGCGCGCTTCTTCCTTTGGGGTTTCCGGGCGCGCCAACTGCTAGCGTCATTAATACGTTCTACCTCGAGAACTGCTGAAATTCGGCGCTGACCTATATGTCTACTTCCATCACAGTTCAGCCGCTGTCTGGAGGAGAAATCTAGCAGCTGGCTCATCTGATCGGTAGTTTTCCGTAGTTTCTCCCATCAACTCTAGGAAGATGCCGAAACAGTACTCTAACGAACAGGCCACGGACCACGCGCAATCTTTCCTTCCTCTTCCTTGTTCTATCTTTACCTCTTTCTTACTCACACTTACACTCACACGCACTACACTACCATACATGTCGGGAGCTGAAAGCGTGTCTCAGTTGGGGTGATGTCTCGCTGGTGGGAGATACCTGGTCGAGGAAATAAAACTTGTATGACGACGTCGGATATCGCCATTATTTCATGTTAATTGTACTGCATTGTGACACGCTCTTTCTCTCCCTCTCATTAATATATCATAGTTTATTGATTTTATCTTATTAATTATCTATCAATTTGTCTAGCTCGGTTTTGGTATGCTGAACGTTACGATTCTTACAAATCACAGGGCTGCTACACTCCGTCATTGTGGGCTGCAAAATTAACCGCTACAGTTGGTGGTAACATCTATTTATATTAGGAATTAAATGATCTCTGGTTTTTATTCTCATGAGAACTTTTCTTTAAATAACACGTCGTTATTTACTTAATATTATAGCAGCAATCCGTCTATAATTGTATAATTTCATTTCTGAAACTTTCTTTTCTTTCCGGATCGAATTAAAACAAACCTAATCTTATTTTTTTAATTCCACCTACCAAAGATGAACATATTTACTTTATTGTTATTATTACTTTCGAAAAACAAAACTGGCTTAATTTACTTAGTTACTACTGACATTCTTAGCCTTGAAAAGAAAGTAATTTTTTCATAGTCTTTTTAAAGATTCTTACGTTTTACACTTCCCTTTTTGTAAGCAAACTACCCTCTTGGCGATCAGATGAGGAGAATGTATTGTAGTCGAATGACATTTATCGTTGGTAAAAAGATTGAGAGGGAGGATCCCCTTTACTTTCTCGTAAACGTACAGAGAAATAGAGTCGACTTCGGTAATAGTGAACTCGGATATAGTGTATCTGCGGTTATAGTGAACAAGTCACTGGTCCCGTTTCATTTACGTCGCAAATAATCATAAGAAGATTTGGTTATAGTGAAGCTCTGTATTAGAAAATACGACATCGAAATTATTTCCCTCGTGGAAATAATATTTCTCCAACATATTCCACTATTTAGAAGCTTGAAAAATTGCGGCCAAAGTTCGTAATTGAAGAAGTCACCCCTGAGGTAAAGGTAGTGAACCCGGAACGGGGAGTTTACTGATGACCTCATACCACTCTGTGCGATGTTCTACATGGGCCTCCCACATCCCCATGACGATACCCGCCACGCAGCGCGGAAAAGCGATCGATTTCATTAGCCGCTTGCGCCCTCACGCTCCTAAAAGCATATCGAATGCAACAGTGCAAAAGCATTGAAGGGTATCAAGACTGCTCGTGAAGGGTTACAACACGTCTCGTACAATGCACAGTGCAGAAGTATGGATCGAGCACGAACTCTGCAGAATGACTTAGAGAAATTACTAATAAAAGTACGTAGCAAACAATTGAAAATAATTAATTTTTTAATGACAAATAAAAGAAATTTAAATTATCAGTTCGTGCTGTTAATGTATTTTGCTTTATATCTACATTAATAAAATCAATCATTGTAGAGGATTTCTATTTAATGTTGACGTCATCGAATATAGTGAACCTTTGATATAGTGAATCAAAAACGTTAATCTCCAGAAGTTCACTACAACCGGTGTCCAGATATTTTTAAAACAGCAAAGATTAAGCCGCTTTTCAAAACGGGCAACGATAATGAAATTCAAAATTTATCTTTTGCCTCCTTTTTCAAAAATATTAGAGAAATTCTTTTACGTACGAATGGAAACATTTCTTAGTAAACACGACGCGTTTTCAGATTCCAAGATGGATTTCGATAATCAAAATCTACGGAAACAGCCATATTTTCTTTTCTTAAAGATGTTTCCACGGATCAAAACCAAGCACCAATTGGAATTTTTTTATATCTTTCAAAAGGTTTTGAAGTCATAGATCATAACATTTTACTTTAAAAATTACCTTCGTATGGAGTTCGTGGTATTGCTCTACGTTGGTTATGTTCGTACCTTTTATACAATGATCTCAGAGTAGAAATACCTTATTGGAATAATGGAACATATGTACACACCTTTCTGATTCTTTGCCTATTGCATGTGGAGTTCCGCAGGGATCGATTTTAGGCCCTATTATCTTTCTACTATACGTAAACGATATGCTCTCGACGATTAGAAACGGAAGAACAGTTGTCTTTGCGGATGATACGAATATTCTTTGCAATAAAGAAACCGTAAGTAGTACAATATCACATATTTCAAATTGGTAATAACAAATTAATAGTAAATGAAAAGAAAAAGGTTTCAATGCACTTTTTCATTTCCTATAAACAGCCCCGCACTCCATTGAAAATGAACGGTGTGCCATTGACTGATGTTAAGGTAACAACATTTTCGGTCCTTCAATTCAGTCAAACCTTAAATGGAACGTCCATATAAATGAATTGAGCACTAAATTAAGTTCACTAGGCTAAGATTTCAGAATTCTTTCAAATTTAGTTACCTTTCATGCTGTTCGTTGTGTATATTTCGAGAATGCCCCGCCTGAGATATATATAATATTTTGGGGAAATACATTTTGTAGCTCCCGAACTTTTAAATTACAAAAATGAATTGTACGGAATATTAAGCAAATCCCACCCAAGTGTTTCTTGCCTATCTTTATTAATCTAGGTATTTTACTATTACCTTGTCTCTTGATATATGAATTAGTGGTTTTTGTCAAACATGTCTTTTTTAAAGGTGGGAATGTTTTTGAACAAACGCCGATGTCTATAACCACAACACTCGACGTAGTAATCATATTCATCAGGTGACAGTATCAACAGCTCACTACAAAAAATTCATATACATTATTTTACAACACCCTGCCAGATGACATTAAACGATTAAATTATATACAAATGCTTAAGTCCCATGTAATTTTTTTTCTGCTGCACAACTGTTTCTAAACAATTAGATGCTATACCGAACATCCAAAAGGAAAGTAATATTAATTTTAACAATGAAATTGAATGCATTATTTACCATTTGAATTGTATAATTCTAAAGAACCTGTAACAAGTATTATAGTTTAGCTTCTTTGTCAATGACCACATCTCGATCAGGTTTTCCTCCAGTTTCCCTGATCCTTGAGCAAATACTGAGATGGCCCCTTGTTTTGCTTCTGGACATAAATGTAACATCCAATTAACTTCTTCCCATAGTATGTCACATATAATTTTTAACAAAATTAATAAATAAAAGTCGACTGCATACGTAGTTTAGAGAAAGTTTTGTAATTATGCGGAAAAACGATTTCGAGATTTCAACGGAAATTTTTCAACGGAAAACGTTTTGGTTGCCCTGCTACCGACAAAGTTTGTTTACTCTCTAAACGTCTGTCCGTCCGTCTATTTATCCGACTTTCTGTGTGTCACTCTGTCGGTCGGTCTGTCTGTCCGTCGGTGGTCTCTATCAGTCGGTCTATCTGTCCGTCCGTCTGTCCGTCCGTTCGTCCGTCCGTCCGTCTGTCTATCCATCGGTCTGCCCAGAGTGCAGTCAGCGCGACGCCAACTCTTAGCCAGAGAGGGCGTTTCTAGACACACGTCTCGCCCTCTACGGAAATGGAGGGGAGAACTTGCTTTGGAGCAAGCGTAGGAAGGCCAACCGGTTTGACAGGAAATTCAGGATAGATTATAGAAACCAGCGTATTTGGTAGAGGGAACCATAATCAGAAAATTTGTGCAAAGCAGGAGAGAATAGATAAAGGTAAATTTTCATTCGTAAATAGAAATATTAATGGTTGATAAAGTTTGCCGGTAGCAATTTTCAAAATCATTCCTCCCAATTTCCGTGGTCTTAGAAACCTGTTAGGATTAATTTAGTAGCAATAGATTAGAAACTTTACGTTATACACGCTCTAAGATAAATCTGTGAATAGTTACTTCAACATCAATAAAAAGTGAGAATCTGATTAAAACCTAACCGACAGGGATACCAACAGTTTGCTGATCATAGTCTGAACATTTCAATCCACATTCTTATGTGGGTGGTGCAAGATACTCCCGACGAGGGCGATACCTTGGTAGATAACTATTTTGGTCTGTTGCAGGTGCCTTTGGTGGTTCTGACTTTCGCCGCGGCGGTGGCGGAAGGCGGTGGATATGGCCTGTACTCCGGCTACGGCAGCGGCAGCTACGGCGGCAGTGGCTACGGCAATGGCTACGCGAGTGGCTACGGCAATTACGGCAGCAGCTATGGCGGTTACGGGGGCGGGTATCGAGGATACTACGATAGGGATCGGTACTTTGATAGGGACCGGTACTACGACAGAGACAGGTATTCCAACGGTGGCTACTACGGAGGCAGTCGGCCAAGCTACAGCGGTTACGGAGGCAACGGATACGGAGGACACGGGGGAAATTACGGAGGCGGATACTACAGCGGTAGCTACGGAGGATATCGCCCAAGTAACTATGGTGGTAGGTAGCGCGTCTGGTTCTTTTGAAAAATACGCTTGTAGGAGAATTTTTCATGACTTTTAATGAAGTTTGTAAAATTGTTTGTACAATTACTATAATGTAATAATAAAAGCAAAAATGGCAATAATAATAATAATAATAATAATAATAATAATAAATATTAATATTGTTTATTTTTCACATATTTACTTCCTTCTATTTTTATTTTTTTCTTCCGGGTAAAGTCGTTATCACTCACTGGTGGATTCAGCATAGACAAAACCAAAAAACAGGTATTTTTTCGATCCTTGTTAAACAATCTTTACCCTAAAATACGTAGTTATCTTCGTGTACTTTTATTTTCACTTTACTTCAGCAATTTTTATTATCCTAGTGAATTTCCATCTTCGTCTGAAATGTTTTTCGCATTAGGTTCCGACACAGAATGGCAAATTAATATTTCTTGTAGAAATGTTCTTAATTTGTGAGGAATTTGCCTAAAACTGAGCGTTCTTTCATGTTGCGAATGCATTTCGACATGGCATGTTAGAGTTTTCTTCTTCTTTCCACTAACAAAAGAAATAATTAAATTTACAGTATTTGATATATATATATATATATATATATATATATATATATATATATATATATATATATACACACACACTTATGTTTTAACCTTACAACAAACTAGACGTGGTCTGTACAAATAAAAAATGATTGAATTTCATTCCAGGACTGGAACAGGAGATTGCTCATAGATCGATGATGTTGATTCACTTAATACAATCCGCTTTTTTGCGATCTCTCATTTCATCATTCTTACGACCTGGGTTTGTGAACACTAATTATCGTTCCCTAGAAGGGCAGAACAAGCAACTATGATGTTTTCTACAATTTCTTCTTCACCACCAAACTTTCTACGTTTATTCGTTTCATCTTTTAAGGAGTGCTGTCGGTAAATCGTTCCCTTCATAATTGTATTTTGATTTATTATTATTATTATTATTATTATTATTATTATTATTATTCATGAGACGCTTTATAACATTTTGGTTCAGTGGAGATAACTTGTAGTTTAATTTTTGCAGGTTATGGAGGTTCCGGATGGTACGATCGGTATGATGGTTACCAGAGACCAAACGGTTATTACAGCGGCTCCGGAAGCAATTATGGGGGCTACGGTGGCTATGGTGGTTATGGAGGCTCGGGTGGTTATGGGGGTTCTGAGGGTTATGGAGGTTCTGGAGGGTTTGGAGGTTCTGGTGGTTACAGTGGCTACGGTGGTTACGGAGGTTCTGGAGGCTACGGCGGTTACAGACCCTACGACGGTTACTCCGGCTACGGAGCCTACCGGCCCTTCGACAACTACCATGGCAACTGGTAGAGTTCTCCTGCGATGCTGCCACGGAGCTACACGACACTGCCAAGGAGCATCGAACTTTGGTCTCTGGCGCCGAGGTGTACAGAGGCACGGGAGACGTATTGGAATTCCTTTTCTTTCGAAGGGGCTGGTACCTTTCGGAATGCAGTCCATGTTTCCGTGTAATCCAACTGATTTGCCTTTGCTGCCAGATTTAAATCTCGTGACTTTTACTTAATAATTTCTGCGCTGCTGATTTATGTTCAATGAACTCAAATTTGTTTACTGGCTACTAATCGGCATGAGGAGAGAAATTACGTAGTGGTTTAGTTCAGTAACATTTATTTTAAGCTGGCAATTTTTGGACAAAATTTCTTGAGAAAGAAAGGTGTTTTTAAAAATGTGTTTTCATATAAAGATGTGTTGTCGTCGGAGAAAAAATGACAGTACATCAGAAATTTTCAGCAGGAGTTTTGAGCAGAGGTAGCTGCGTTGCAGGCTCCTGATATCTGCGCTACGCGACATAACAAAGTTCTCAACAATTTTACCTCTGTATTTCTTTTTGATAAAGTAAATTTTTTGTAAAAAAAATAATTACTTATTTAAATCTCGAATCTCCTTTTGCATCCTTTTATAGTTACTGTAGAAAATTAACATTACAGATCGAGCTAGACCACTAATTGATTGATGGTAATAATGAAGATAAGTTTTTAACGTGGGCACCGTGCGAGAACTCTTGTGCGTTCAATTCCACCTTCTTCCCTACCTTTCCTTTTTCACATTTTAATATTCCTCTTAAGGAGAAGTTGTTAACAAAACCTGTTTATTTATTTAAAAAAATACAAAGGTAACTTTCAATGTACTTATTGAATTAAAAAAATAGAGAACATTGAAATTGATATTTGAAACAAATTTTGAATAAAGGTTTATTCTGTATTATAGACATGTTATTGAAACAATTCACAACACTTCCTTAAAAACAGCATTTGAAGTAGTTACACAATCTTCCTTGACCGTTAGCTTTTTGCTTTTCTTGATAGTTACAAAAATATTACAAAATTTTAGAAAGCTACTTAAAGTTGTCCTTGCGAAAATGCACGATCGGGCTAGTAACAGTGGCACAACGTTCGGGCCTGCAATGCGGGCTGGCCTGGGTAAAAGAGACCCAGTATTGGGGGAGTATTTATTTCTTATTTAAGGTAGTAACACTACTCCTGTTAGTTTAACAATTCTATAAAGGGGGCCCGGATAAACGTTTTGCGGACGGGCCCGCACTCATTGCGTTACGCTTCTGCTTACTTACCCTACTCATTAGTACATTTTACTAGCAAGAACAAATAAACTTTTTATTTGTTGACAAATTGAGTATAAAAACTAGATACGCTACAACATCATATACTTTCTTGCACTTTTCCAATTTGCAACATTACCAAGTTTCGAAAATTCAGAGTTCCAAATGAAAATGAGACATTACATATTTTCAAGTGTTCTTTGCTATATCTGTGGAAAATATTTTAAGAAAAAGTGTAGTAGTTTTTTTCAGAAAAAGTACAAACTGCCTTTAGTAGGTAGTACCTTAGTCGGCAAAATAATTAAGAATTCTCATTAAACTTCATTTAACCTGAATTTTAATAAGTACGAGTGAAATTCTAGGATTAAAACATGAGAAATTCATGATAATCACTGATCACGATTTATTTCCTTCAACCTCTAGATAGTTCTTCCAGGGTAGAAATTTACATTACATTTGCCTTCATGAATCGCCCGAGAGCGAAAGGAGGGGCTCCTCCAGATGGCGCTTAGATGCGTTCTCCAACATCACATGTTGGAATGTGTAGGAACCACCTGCTCGAAGAAGTGTGATCGCACAATATTTTAATTTTAAATCATAATTGATTTTTTCATGTGACATACCTGAGAAAACGCAAGCCAGGCAACTACAGAAATGCCTAAATTAAATTTGTATAAAACCTGTCGAAACAGAAATAAAAATAATGTACGAAAAATACGAATGGCTATTTAGGTGAACGGGATATGAAAGAAAGGATGGCGCGCGGTACGTGGCCCGTATTCTAAGGTGACGCTTCTATATTTGTCTGGAAATGATAATTCAGGCATTCTACAGAATATTTCTGTGGAATAGAAAATACGTAGAACGCAACATTTAAGGGTGATTTTCTTGAACATTATTTTGAATTCATAGATTGCTTTTGAAGATAATTCGTACTATTAAATACCTATTTTTGAAAACTTTTTCGTAAATCTAAAGAACTCCAGTGTTCTAAGCAAAATATGTCTTAAGAATATCATAGAAGATTGTAATGTCATTGCGCAAAGAAGTTAAACATTGAAAGAATTTTCATAGTAAGTTGGTTGAGTTGTTTTAGTAAGAGTCGATTTTGATACAACCACACAATAAAACTTCTAGAAACTGGCTGATGAACAATTGAAGTAGATGTTTTGAACATAAATCAAACTACTCTAATCAACTACACAACACTCTCAATGTAAATATACAGAGTGTACAAGTGATACGAGAAAATAAAAATAATTTTTAGAAGGTAGGTTTTTTAAAGAATGAACCAATATTACATTATTTTGTGTGATGGGCCCTTTTCTAACAAATATTTTAAAGAAAGATTTAAAAATATTTGAGAAAAGTGTTAAATTATACTTTCTAAACATATTTAAAAAACTAAAATTTTGGTTCGATTGATTTCAAAATAAATTCGAGCTTCATGTCATATCCGTGGAACCATAATTATATTCCTTTTTAACTTATAAAGGTGAGCGGTAAGTTAAACCGAACGGAAGCATCGCGTACTTCACCTCAGGGCGAAAACAGACAATCGGTCTCGTTTCATCGAGTTCCGAGAGTCAGTTCGTCCAATGGTGGTGAACGGAGGGATGGGTTGGCTCTTCTTTGCAGAACCATTCGGCGCTCGCAAGACCCTCTGTGTGGCACATCAAAAGAAGCGAACGTTCACCGAGCAAATGGGTTTCTCCTGATTGGGAAATGCAGAATTTGGATATTGCAATGATTTAGAGAAAATGCAACAGTTAAGATATGAATTATTTCAAATGTTTTACAAACGACGCTCAAATGAAATAGTTAAACAAATATTGAAGAGAGAGGTACAGAAGATTCGCCCAAACTGCGTTGCTCTTGTTGACAATATTAGCTGAGTTGGCTCAGGGCATTGCCAACAGATGTCACTGCAGTTCTGACCTGGAGGTCCTAATGTTTGAGGCCCGACAATAGTAGGGTTTCGACACTACCTTGTTAGATAGCTTGAGTTCAGTCCCGATCTGGAGAATTCTAGCGGCCAGCTACTCTGATCGGTAGTTTCCCGTTGTTTCTCCAAACCACACCAGGGAAATGCCGGAGTAGTACCTTGACAAATTTGACATGGACTGCGAGCGATCTTTCCTTCTTTTTTCTTGTCCTGCACTCCCCCATTCCTTACACACACTTACTCTTACATGCAGTACACTAAACACATGTCAAGAGGCCAGTCGGGAGCTTTGAGCTTGTACCGGCTAGGGTGGTGCAATGCTTGGGGAGATACCTGATTGGGAAAAAAGCCTGAATCCCGGAAACACAAAATAATCAATCATATTATTGACAATGAGAAAAAAAGAAATATCTCACTTTGTGCAAGCCGAATTTTCTCTCTTTGATCTTTGCTCAAGTTGTGTCTGTGTTTTAGTCTGATACCCATGTCCTCGCTACCGCAGGTTAGGAAGATGAAGAAAGTTTTTGGCACTTTTCGCTTGCTGTCTTTCTCTTTAACCTCTTTATTCAGGAGTCTTAAAATAAATGTTAAACATATCTAAGATCAGTTTCGTATTCCTGTATGATTTCTGATACAGTGTAGGGACTTTGATCATGCAGACCTTTCGTGCGTGAGGAGTTACCTAACAATCAGGGGGCAATTTTCACATGAGTAACTTTGTCATATGAAATTTCCAATCACATGTTCATTGGCAAAAAGTGTTCAGTTTGGATCCATCCAACTGCTCTAGAAGTTTGTAACAATTATTCTGAGATACCTCTATCTCTCCCACAGACGTCCTCCCCGGCTGAGACTTTGGTCTCCAATGAGAAACCACGTGGTACATTCCATTCTCCCCATCCATCGCTCCGATGTTTCGTGAGCTTATATCGGTCATAGTACTGTACTTACTTCATTAGGTAAGCGTAGTTCATGAGCCTATCGCTCTTACACCTGTATTAGAGAAGCGGTTTCCTGCGATTGGTCGCCAAAGTGCTGTCAAAGGTATGCCTAGATAATAAAATTGATTGTTTCCTTTTCTTTTCATTGAGGCGCATATTAGCGGCCATTAGTGAGTAAGAAGATACTAATTATGACGTCAGAGAAATTGGAGAACCCTGAGAAAACATGCTGCGATCTTGCATTGTCAATGAGTTCTTCTTGCATTTGAACGTTAAGTCCAGGCGGGGAAAGGTTGTGAGCTACTAGTTGACCTCGACTAATGATTAATAAGGAGAAAAAGAGGAATAAGAAGGATGAGGAAGAGAAGAATGACGAAAAGAAGAACGGGGAGGATAAAAGAGTATAAAGAGGAAAAGAAGCAAGAGTGAGTCGAATTGGAAGAGAAGGAGTAGAAAAAAACGAAGACAAGAAAGATGAAGAGGAGAAAAATCAGAAGAGGAATAAGATGAGGTAATGTAGGAGGAACAGAATAAAAGGAGGGTAAAGAGGAAGAGAAGAACACGTGGAGCCAGAAAGGGAGAAGTGGAATAACTAGTAGTGTTACACACTATGGCACACACTTTCTTCATTAGGTAGTTTCCTATTGTATTGTGACAGATAGCTTTTCGGTTTTGCCCAACCCTATTTCTAATAGCTATCTTCCGGTGGACCAACCACAGCCACTCGGTACCTACAGCTCCTCTCAGGACACTCCCAGCTCCTTCGTGCAACGAACGTCACATAGACGAACCTCCGTTCCAAGGTTTGTCCACGGTATCCCTTGTTTGAACTCTTAGTATGAATCTT